ATCCGCTCTGACTGAGCTAATGTCACCCAATCGTCGATGTCGTTGAGTCGGGTTCGTGTGAGCGAGAACGACATCTCGATGTCGAACCGTCATCCACTCTGACTGAGCTAATGTCACCCAATCGTCGATGTCGTTGAGTCGTAAAAGTGTGGGGTGAAAGTGCAAGGCCAAAGGAAGAAACCAGTATTGGTAGGCTTTTGCCCCAAAAGCAAACCTCAAGAACTTCCTATGATGAGGAAGGATGGAGATATGTGCATCTTTTAGATTGCTCATGACACATCAGTCCTCGGACTTGGTCTAAGACACGCCCTGTTTGAGTGCGAGTGTGCTGAACTTCAGTCACATGACTGAGCGGTTCAATAGGCGCAGATCTAAAATAGGACGCAACCCCCCATCCTTCTTCGGAACAATGAAGTACCGGCTGGAGAACCCGGAGTCTGCCTCGTGCGGAGGGACCACCTTGATGGCCTCCTTCTTTAAGTAACTACTTAAAGTAGAGTAACTACTTCTTGTTCTAATACCAGGGCCTGCTCGGGACCCACTAGAGTGGGGGGCCCTGTTGAATCGAGGCGGACGAGAACCGAACTGGATTCTGTAGCCTCTTTCTACAGTACGCAGGACCCATTGAGACACATTTGGCAGTAGCTTCCATGCTGCTAAATAATCTACTACGGGAATCAGTCTCTCGAGACTGATCTCTGGTGTGCCCAGAACGGCTAGTTTGGTGCCTTGAAGCGGCACACCGGCAGGGGACGCCGAACTAGCTGCTCTAGATACCTACGTAGAGGTAGCGAGCCTCTTAGTACCACTACGTTTCCGGGCGGTGTGGTGCGCCTAGAGCAGCTAGCTCAGTGCCCTGAAGGTGCGGACCGGCAGGGGACGGCCGTACTAGCTGCTCTAGATACCTCCATAGAGGAAGCGAGCCTCTTAGTACTGCTACGTTTCCGGGCGGTAACTGAGAGAAGCGCTTGCCGGAGACCACTGCGCCCTGGAACACAGCAGAGTTGGCAGACCGACCTCCTGAGGGCACTGAGGAGAGACGGGCACCGTGTAATGTGGTGTACACCGCTCTTCTCCAGAGGGAGCTGGCCCTCAAAAAGTCCTAGACCTTAGGCGTCAGGACATTTACGACGAAGACTATCCAGCAAGAATGACGGTCCGCAGACCCGCCTTCTGCTAGAAGCCTTCAGCCTGGGAGCGCCACTCTGACTCTAGACTCTAGAAGTGAGGCCCCCAGAATTAGAGGCTGGAACACGGTAGGTTGGGACTGCTCCGCCCAGCAGCCCCTGCTGACCGCCTCAACCTCCTCAGAGAAAGAGAGGTTAACGCGTGCTCTCACTCAAGAAATGTATATCCCAAGAGCCCCTGTATATCTAACTTCTCATAGTCAAACAAATACTTCATTTTATTTCTCAGAATTAAATGCAATCAAACAATCAGACGAGTAAATACGGTCTGGTGTAGTAAGATTCACAGCAAAAAACGAAATTTTGTAATATATAATTTTATATATGCGTTGCCTTGGTGGCGTGAGTCGCTCAGTCACACAAACAACATCAATCTCCTCATAGAAAGAGGGCCGCAGCACTCACTCAGAGGGGGAAGTACCGCAGCGCGGGCTTCCAAGCCTCGAAAACGAGCTCTAGATCTAGGGAGCACGGGTGGAGATAGGAAGAGCCGTCTCCAACCCATTTGCTAGATCATGAGCGATCCCAGTCACCGCCGTGCCTCAGCAGCAGTGGGACCACAATCGCAAGATCACAGGCACGGACACACTCCTTGGAGCGTGCCCGGCGAGAGCGGAGCACTTAACAGTGGAAAAAGCACAATCCGCCCCCCGAGAGCCGATTGCGCGAGCTCTGCTCCCTAATAATGCTGCTCATTATAATATCAGGCATAATATGCTTGTGTAACTGATGCTTTTGTAACTGGCGATCTCTTTGATGCCCTACTTATCTATCTCCTCGGAGAAAGACAGGCAGAGCGTCGCGCCCTCTCCCTGGTGGGAAGGACCGCAGCGTGGGCATCCGAAACCCCGAGAGCGGGCGCCGGATCTGGTGATTAGGAAACAGATCCATACGCGAAACCCATGAGCACAGCCGCCACTCCGCCTCGGCGAAAGCGGGGCCAGCACCGCGAGGAACGCTAGTGAAGGCTCTCTCCTCAAAGAGAGCCCTCTGAGAGCGAAGCAAGGCAGTAACAACTGTGCTTCGCTCCCAAGCAAACCACGCACAGGCTGTGTGTATCCCCACTCGTGATATAACGTGGGCAGGGAGGAGCACACAACCTATAACGTGGCTTGCTCTCGCCCTTGAAATGCTCTGTCTTTGCATGAGCTTAGACATAGCTGGAGCTTATAGACTTTTCACAATTGACAGACAACAATAAATATGACTGACACACACAGAGCGCTTCGCTGAATGACAGAAAGCTGACACTGGCTCCGCCACATGTGCTTTTATAGCTTCCTGGTCATGACGTCACCCGCCCGTGACGTCCCACTCAGCTATTGGACTGATTTCACATGTGATTCAGAGCTTGGTCACAGAAGGCGTTCCCCTAGCGTTTTCCGACGCAGCTCGAGTTCCTGAAGAGTAACCATACAGATGGGCTGAAAACAGCACTGAAGAATATCACAAAGCACTTAGCAGCCAAAAAATACAAGCGCTGACATATAACTTTCTAAATAACACCTATGCTCACATTAATAAAGGTGTCAATCTTGCTGTCAAAGACATAAATAACATATTTGAAAAATCAGCAAAACAATCCAAATTGAAAACAAAAAATGGAAAAAATCAAATACACAAAAATTGGTTTGATCAGGACTGCTAAACTATTCTCGAAAAACTGAGAACATTGTCAAATCAGAAACAGATCCAAATAATGCAGAGATCCGCCTTTTTTACTATGAAACACTAAAACAATACAAACATACACTCAAAACCAAAAAAAGCACAATTCATCCAAAAACATCTGACAATAATCGAGAAGTCAGTGAACACAAACCAATTTTGGGATAATTGGAACTATCTGAAAAAGACTGATTATGAAGAATTGGCAATCCAAAATGGAGAAATATGGGAAAGTAATTTCCAAACATTGTTTAATAAAGTACAAACAGAAAAGCTTTGTTGGATTTGCAAAAACCTTAAAACGTGCATGTCTTTACCGAAAGAGATCATTTGAGTAAAGGTTTACTATGTATTACCGCGGTTTCTACATCACGTTTCCGTGCAACTCTTCTTTGTCAGTTTATCCTGAAAATCGCATATCTAGTTATACGACCAGGTTAGCAAAAACTATAAACCTGAAAGGAGAATAGCAAGTAGGCCTTGCTGAGATTGAATATCCTAGAAGCTGGTACACCCTTAAAGACGACGACGGGGTTTTCAGCCTGCATGTCTTCCCAGTACCATCCCAGAAAAATGCGAATAAACCAGGCAAAACCGTGTTTAAAAAGTTATCAGGGTTTTCTGTATCAAGGAAACTCCAAATAAGCGGTGGGTACTACGAGAACGTTCGAGCCGTGATCACTGCGATAAATGCACTTATTTACATCATTAAAAAACAAAGCCCAACTGATCGCTAAGCCCAACATTTTGGTAAGCTTCTACGGGAAACTCACCGCTATTTTAGGAACGAAACCTGGCGTGGCTTTAGGACGTGATGCATGCCATGAAAAAGCCAATTTTACAATGAGCGTTATCACGGACGCTCCTCATCAAGCTGATATCAACGTGTTTCTATACGAGGTATGTTTATACCGACATTATCGAATACCAATCAGTGGGTGATTCGTACATCCCCCTTTTAAGATGCGTACATATAACGAGTGGAGACAGTGATACCGTCAGTGTTAGATACGACACACCCCATTACGCATCGGTCAACAAGTCGCTCATCACGGACATCGCCGTAGAATTAAAGGATGACCAAAACCGCAAAATACCATTTTCTTACGAGAAAGTCATGGTAAAACTCCACTTTAGGCCTGTGAAACAAAAAGCTTTAAAAATGGCTTATTACAACCCACGCGGGATGAACACCGCTGACTATGTAGACTATTATCGAAATCAGGCGGGGGGTGGTCTACCCGGATATGCTGGAGGAGCCGTTATGTACTGGGATGGCCTAGGAGGACTTTTCAGAGGTCGTACTGTTGTTAAAAAGGGGGTTCAGCATCACTAAACCGCACCTAAAATCAGCCGCTAAAAATATAGCAGCCAATGTCGTCTCAAACGCTCTGTCAAGGTCTTATAACGGCAATCCAAAAGCTCAAGGCGGTTCGTGTATTTTTTTCGTATTTCCCATTCATCAAAAATGAACAAAGAGGCCCAGAGGGTTAAACCTGATAGATTTCTATCCCTCCACTGAAAGTCCATTACACCAAAACCCTGAGACATGATCACTTTAACTAACGAACAGATTTAATTTAGGCTTTTACTCACAAAAGAAGATCGACAAATGCTTATGCATTTCAAATCTCTTGCTTGAAATCTCTCAGGTTTTGTTACAGAAATTATGATCTTTGTTTCAAAGATGAACAACAGTCTTATGGGTTTGGAACCATATGATTATGAGTAAAACAAGACTACATTTTCATTTGTTGGGTTAAACTATCCCTTTGAGCTTTTTTTGCCAAGTGTGCGTGCACACATGAGCCATTTTCCGTGGCTATGGAGCTTCCAGTAAGGGGGTCTGAATACTTTCCGTACCCACTGTATATATATACACACACATACATACATATATTATACACACACACATATAAATACAACAATCAGACACATATTATAGAATAAAAACGAAAGTATGAAGATAGTTAGGTTAAGTCTGAAAATATTCAAGGATTGTATATACAGTATTAGGAATAATAATATGAATAAATACAGGATATTGTACTAATATCCTGCAACATGTATGACAGTTGTTTGATGGCAGAGACAGGGGTTTGATTTGAACTGGAGGTGACACGTGTTGTAACTCTCTTTGAACAGGTCGCTGAAGGCCGTCTGCCGGATGTTTACGACTGACATTTGGCATTTGAGCCAAACAGTTATTCTGTGGCAACACTGGTATCTCAGCGAAAGCTATGCCGCTTCACGTGTCTGCTCTTAATGCTGTGTAACTAAAACAACTTAACCTGACTAACTGTTCCCCGGTTATTCATTTTGCATCTCCCTTTTTTGTTTTCTCTCTTTGTTTTTTAACAGATGACACAGTTTGAACTACTTTCCTCACTACAACATTAACAGCAACCAAAACATGGAGAACAAGTCTAAAAATGGCAAAAGGAGTGAATTCCTGAGAGTTACGGTGAGAGATGCAGACCAGAGGAATGCAAAAGGGACGAAACATTACACAACAAAAGAGGTTTATGTACAAAAGGGATGTAAAATGAAGGAACAGAAAGCTGTCGGCATTCAAAGATTCATTCCGGCATCTTGGTTATGGGATTACATCTCTGCCACAATTCTGCAAGCGAAAGATCATATTTTGAGCGCGCAAACTGAGTTTTGTAGAGAAAATGTTTGTCTCGCAAAGAAGAAAGTATTTTGAGCACACGAAAATAAATTTTGCATTTAAAATATGTTTTTTAATTTTGTGCAGACCTTCTCTTTTGCGCATGCAACGTTTCACTAGCTTGCTCACCTGATGCCCGCCCTCAGTGCTCTCTAAGTGCCAACAGCTTGCTTGCTCAACACAACCCAGCGTTACAATATGCCATAATTCCAGTCAATCAGAGACGAGGCTGCTAAATTCTGATCGGCTGCCTTGCCAACCATTCACAACATTTCTTGCATTACCAGGACATGAATATTTGTCACTATGGCAGCATCTACATTCATTCAGAGTGACAATGAAACCTTTTGCATTTTTCAACAGGTTAAGACTTTGCTTTTATGAAAATGCATTTATGGATTAGCAGTTTTGGAATGAAATGGAATGAATTAATGAAAGTAAATAAATAGGCAAAGTTACCTTAAATATGTTTCTTAAAAATATACGCTACACTACCGTTCGGAAATTAAATTAATTAATTTTTTGGTCAAGACATTGGTTTTTAAATGAATTTTTAAAGTAGTGGATACTTGGCTTTGACATTGCAGGTACAGCTAACAAATTTTTAAACATAAAATAGAAATAATTAAAATGTAAAACAATGAAAATGTACACGATTTTAACTTTTTCTTTTAAAATAAATTGCATGCTACATTTAATTGTGAAGCAGCAATTTAAAACAACTAAATGTCTTAGAGATAGATAATTATAATGTCGATTTGTTACACTGAATTCATTTTACAAAACAAAAGAAATTATATGCATAGTTTATATCTAAAATAAAAAATAAGGTTTAATACAAAATAATTACTTTTGGTTAAAGTACAAACCAAAAAAAATATCAACATAAATTGCTTTTTTTTCCTCAACTGTCACATTCTACAGTTTTAAGAATATTTAAAAAAGTTTTCCTTTATACTTTGTCCTGAAATGCACAGTACATCTGCATGCTTCATATTATGTTTCGCCTTGTATGTATTTTCCTTCCTGAAGGAAGCACTTTCTATTGAGGAAAATGTTCCTCAAATATCTGGAAAGGGAAGCCAGGGATGCAAGTGGACAAGTAAACACAACTTAAACACCAGGACATGGTTATATTCACTGTCACGTTGAGGTGTGCCAGGGAACAGGCAGGATGACGAGGATGAAGGACACAAGAACACTTTAATGAATACATGAGAGGGTAAGAGCACACGCACAGGGTAACATTCACAATAACTGACAAACTCGAACACAATGGACAGGAACTGATATAAGGTGGATAACGAGGGGCAGACAGGAGAGCACAATGAGGTGATTAACTAATAATGAGAACAGGAACAACCAAATAAGGACACAGAGGGAGAAACCATACAAGACAGTCCACAGGGGTGTGACAGATCGGTTGGGCGCCCTGGCGGAGCCGAGGACATGTGAGGCCGTGGCGGAGCAGGATACTCGAGGGGCCACGGTGGATCGGGGACCTCGGGGGCCCACGGTGGATCGGGGGCCTCGGGAGGCCACGGCGGAGCAGGGGACCTCGGGAGGCCACGGCGGAGCAGGGGACCTCGGGAGGCCAAATTGCTTTTTTTTCCTCAACTGTCACATTCTACAGTTTTAAGAATATTTTAAAAAGTTTTCCTTTATACTTTGTCCTGAAGGAAGCACTTTCTATTGAGGAAAATGTTCCTCAAATATCTGGAAAGGGAAGCCAGGGATGCAAGTGGACAAGTAAACACAACTTAAACACCAGGACATGGTTATATTCACTGTCACGTTGAGGTGTGCCAGGGAACAGGCAGGATGACGAGGATGAAGGACACAAGAACACTTTAATGAATACATGAGAGGGTAAGAGCACACGCACAGGGTAACATTCACAATAACTGACAAACTCGAACACAATGGACAGGAACTGATATAAGGTGGATAACGAGGGGCAGACAGGTGAGCACAATGAGGTGATTAACTAATAATGAGAACAGGAACAACCAAATAAGGACACAGAGGGAGAAACCATACAAGACAGTCCACAGGGGTGTGACAGATCGGTTGGGCGCCCTGGCGGAGCCGAGGACATGTGAGGCCGTGGCGGAGCAGGATACTCGAGGGGCCACGGTGGATCGGGGACCTCGGGGGCCCACGGTGGATCGGGGGCCTCGGGAGGCCACGGCGGAGCAGGGGACCTCGGGAGGCTGTGGTAGATCCTCCGTGGCCTTGGCTGGCTTGGCCACGGGGGTATGGCCCCCCCCAAATCTTCCTGGGGAAATTCCGGAATGGAGCCGTCACGGGAGCGAGCTCTGGGGCTGGAGCCGTCACGGGAGCGAGCTCTGGGGCTGGAGCCGTCACGGGAGCGAGCTCTGGGGCTGGAGCCGTCACGGGAGCGAGCTCTGGGGCTGGAGCCGTCACGGGAGCGAGCTCTGGGGCTGGAGCCGTCAGGGGGGGGAGCGCTGGGGCTGGAGCCGTCACGGGAGCGAGCTCTGGGGCTGGAGCTCTTCCTGGGCTTAGCTGGGGATCCGGGGCCCTTCCCGGGCTTGACTGGGGATCCGGGGCCCTTCCCGGGCTTGACTGGGGATCCGGGGCCCTCCGTGGGCTTAACTCGGGAACAGGGGCCCTCCATGGGATTAACTCGGGAACAGCCCGCACTTCTGGGCTGAGGACAGAGACGGTGCTGGGATGAGATGGGTAACCGGAACCTTTGGATGGGTATGTGGAGGGTCCGGGCGAGGGGTGAGCTGGTGCAGTGGGGTGGTTTTCGGGAGGGACTGGATTCGTGACAGAGGCTGGCGGGCTTGAGAGCGCTGGTTTCGGGATGCCAGCTGCCCGTGCCGACACCAGCGGTGGGGCCTCCACGCAGGAAGCCAGTCTGGGATACGGAAGAACAGCTGTAATTTGCCTGGTCTCATGAATATCTGTGGGGACTTGACTAGACTCATAATAATGAACTGTGACTTGACTGGACTCATGACTATCAGCTGTGACTAGACTCGACCCAGGAAGACCAACTTCTTCTACCTCCAGATTAACGCCATTCAGATACAGGACCTGATTAACCAGCTCGATCAGGGGAAAGCTATATGTGGGAAGCCCAGCCCCAGCCGAAAACAGACCCCGAGAGCAGAATTGAACCAGCTCACCTGGTTAGAGAGCTCTAGGACCTCCTCCACATACCTCTCCAATTCCCGACCACCCTGCCGCAGACACCAAAGCCTGTCTTCAGCCGTCATTAATCTGCTCAATAACCGATGAGAGATAACTCTGCTAATATGACCACTGCTTATCAAGTAAAATGAAAGTAGTTTTTGTACTTTTTGTTGCCTTCCTTACTTGCTTTACTCTTTACATTTTTTACATTCTGTACTTCCTTTACTTGCATTTTTATTTACATTACATTCTGCACCTTTTGTATCTTTTCTTACTTTACATACTTGCATTTCTTTCAGCACTTTTATTATTTGCATTACTTTCCTTTCTTTACTTGTTTGCGTCACTTGTTACTTTTATTACTTTAATTTCCATATATTACTTTTGTTACTTTCCTTACTTTACATAGCACTGTATAGAGTCGTTATTTTTGTTTTCAACAAATAAAGTAATTATTTTTGTTTTCTTTGCACAAAAAAGTATTCTCGTAGCTTCGTAAAATTACAGTTGAACCACTGATCTGGGCTGGGCCAACACTGGACTACTTTGTCGATTATCCTGGTACTTTTCTGGACCTTGAACGTGGTAGTTACCTTGCTGTCTATGGGAGGGTCAGAGAGCTTTCAGATTTAATCAAAAATATCTTAATTTGTGTTCCGAAGATGAACGAAGGTCTTACGGGTTTGGAACGACATGAGGGTGAGTAATTAATGACAGAATTGTCATTTTTGAGTGAACTAACACTTTAAGCTTAAATACAGGGCCATTAAGATATTTCTGTGGTGTTATAATTTATGATAGTCACAACTTAACACTATATTCTCCTTTAAATGTATTAGGCTATGGGCAAGAAGGTTATGGCCAGGACCCTTACGCCAGCTCTCAGGGCGGGTAACAGCCCGAATACGGCCAGCAGGGCGTTGGATATGAAGGCGGAGGCTATAATCAGTATGGTCAGGGTGAGCCCACCACCTTCTCCAATGAGATGTGAGCTCTTTTACAAAGTCTTGATTTTGTTTTGGGGGTGTACTAGAACTATTGGTTAGCTGGGCCGGTGTTTGTTGGTTAGCTGGGCCGGTGTGTGTTGTGATTGGTTAGCTGGGTCAGCGTGTGCTGTGATTGGTTAGCTGGGCCAGCGTGTGCTGTGATTGGTTAGCTGGGCCGGGGGTTGGTGGTTGGCTG